AAAAAAAAAAAAAAAAAAAAAAAAAAAAAAAAAAAAAAAAGACACTGTCATATGAACAGTCTCTATTGATTACATCAAAAAAATACTATACATTCACTTTACTTTCTTTCATCTCTTAATGTTATAAGAAGATAGGTGGGCAAATATCTGGCACCAAAAAACTGATGCATGATAGTTCCAATACTTTAAACAAAATGTACTGTATAGAACATTAATATTTAAATTTTTAGGCCATTTTAAAGTCTAAATCCACATGGTCTTCTACTTCCTGTAAATTGTTTCCTTCCAAAAGAAATTCAGACTTCTGGTTCCACTTGCTTTCACAGTATTCTAAAGATCCGTTAAAATGTACATGTGATGCTAAGGTAAGTAAATAATATGACATGACATTTGGTACTGCAGCCAATTATTGTAACTAGTTAATGTTACATTTTAGCAAAGTTGCATAAAAAAAGTCATAAAACACATCTGATTTTTTTTCAAAATCCAGTTTCTAGGAAATTTTTCATGACAAATGTAACAAGTCTCTCCAGCATCCATTTGGGTTCCAAATGTACATAAATCTAACACTGGCATTTACAGTGAATGAACTTAACCCAAGTGATTGAAATATATGCAAAATTAAGTTTGCTTATCCTCTATTTTATATTAAACTTGTTTTCCCATGTGTAGAGTAACATTATTGTAAAATTAACTATTTGCGACACCTGCATTGTTTAAGCAACACCTCCTTTGCTTTCTAGAATTGTTTGTTAAAGCACATTTATTTAAAAACTGAACAAAACGTAATGTACAATTTATATTTGAACATTATGCTACTGAAGTCCAAATAATGTCCACTGAATAAATCAATGTGATGTTACAATACATGATCTGATTTTTTTTAAAATATCAACTTTTTTGACCATGTATTATATCCAGGATAGAGCCAATGCCTTCAGTATCAGACTGTAATGCCAGATAATGATCTTAAAAATAACCAAGCACACTATATATGCAGGAGAACACTGACACTATTTAATTGTTTGCAGCATCTGCTTGACGAGGCCAACCTTCCTCTTCAACTCCTGAGTCATACTCTTCTTCAGATGTATCTTTAGTCGGAGCCCTACAATTAAAAAGAATTGATCACATATTTTACAAGTTGAGAGGAGAATGCTGGTAGGATTACCATGGCTCCTCACAGACAGGTATTCCATAAAGCATCATTTCAAGTTGGATATGGCATGTGTGCTGCTTTAAATACTGGTCTCAAATGTCTCTTGGGAATGTAATTCACTGATTAAACCTTATTTACTTGCTTGAAAAGGAAAAATTATTTACATTCTTTATCACAAATTAAATGACCAGAAATAAACAGGGTAAAGTTTAAATTTCCAACAAACACTGCAGGCTCCCAGTTATTTTGCAGTGCACTTCCTAATACTTAACGCAAGTATTACTGAAGATAACACTTCATACTTCAACAATCCCCTCTCTGTCTGCAGGTTGAGCACCTCAGAATTAAGCCTCAATACTGACTTGATAAATAATAGTATTATCTCCTATGTTGTTTTGGGGAATCTGTCTACATACAACTTATGACTTCTGGTTGATGATCTGAATTGCTTTAATGTGTACAGCAGAGGTTTCTAAACTTTTTGCTGGCATGACACCACTTTAGTGAAATATTTCCTCCTGGGACCCCAGACAGCATGGAGGATGCCATTTTGAAGAACATGACCTCACACATGACCATGCATGCAAGGTCATGCTGTGTGAAGCAAAATGGCATTCTCTGCATACTAGGGATTGCCGCACCCCATTGGCTGATGGTGCAACCTCAAATCCCACAGTTCAGGAACTGCTGGTGTAGTGAGTCAGCCACCAGTTGGCAGGTGCTTTGTCATGTACCTGCTAGATCAGGGATGGTGCTCAGTTGTTAAACTGTAATGGGTTGCCTATTCAGGTGGGAACCCATTGGGACAATGGGTTGGCTGGAGCTCAGAGGAACAGTTCCCTGAACTTCTCTGCAGGGAGGGGAGAGTGGAAAATCACCAAACAAGACAAAGGGACAGGGGTGACAAAGGACTCTCAGATAGAACCAAGGGCAGGCTTTTGGACGAAGCATTGGACAGGAGAGAGGGGCATGCCTTTGGAACAGGTAGCCCTGTTTTACTGCTCAATCTGCTGAGGATGGAGGAAGCTAGCTGCCTTAGAGGGGGCAGGGAGAGACAGACACTCCATGATTTTGAGAAGCCATGTGCAGAAGAATACTGGGCACCCCAGAGACAGGGATGGATCACGTAATAATTGCCCTGTTCTGTTCATTCCCTCTGAAGCATCTGGCATTGGCTGCTATTGGAAGACAGGATTCTGGGCCTAGGACAGCTTGGTCACATGGTCCCATTTCTAAGACGGAAATGTGTCAAGAGGCCAAGGAGAGAAACGGTGCTGCTGCCTACAGAAACCCCAGGAAGCTTAAGAACACATGGGTCCAGTGTGTGAGGCTCAATACAGCAGCCTGATGGGTGTGCAGCCACGGGGAACTCTACCAGTGCTGTATGTTACATCTCCATTGCACAGAAAGGGAATCTGAGGCACAGAGAGGCTATGCAGCTTCCTGAGGGTCACATAAGGAATCTTGTGAGAAACAGGAACCAGGAAACCTGACTCCCAGTCCTGTATGTTAAACACAGAACTGTCCCTCCCCCTCCACATCATCTGCTATTTATTTAGATTGGGGGGAGAGGGGAAACATATCCAAGATCTAATAAAATCCATTAAATCCCAGCAGAATTAAAGTAGTAATTTCAACAGGAACTCAGCCAACCAGCCACCTACCTGCAGGAACACCTTTTTATCCCATTCCCTTCATCCCTGAGGCATCTCAAATATATTATCAAACAGATGTATTTTGCAGCATGCCTAGATCATCAAATTCAGCTATTTACAACCCAGGAAGGGGGAGCAAGTTCCAGTGTCCTGGAGCCCTCACAGAACACAGAATTTTTTCTTTTCAGCAAATATACCACCACTCACTTAAATAGCCTTAGTGATATAGTCACAATTAACTCATCATGCACTTTTTGTTTTGTTTTTTCTAAAGAAACACACACACACTGGGAAGAGTTAAAAACAGAATGTAATACATTTAAATTTAAAAGTTACAAAATAATTGTATAGTTTTAGATTTAGTATGTAATATGTAACAATAGTAATAAAAAAATCCAAAGTCACTAGTACAGAATATGCATTAAGTGCCCTATATCTACCAACTATGTATGATGTACACAAAGTCGGAAGATTATTTTTGGAACATGTATGTGTATAGAATTTTATTTTATTATAAAAAAACATTTGTATGAGGCACTGGCTGGCTGACTGTCTAGACTATTAGTCTGGTTGGAACTGCAATTCCTATGTTACCTAATATATCCTGGTTCTTTTTTGCCTTCCACAACTTCTTTGTCAACCTCCACACATACAATGTCAGAATTGGGTACTTCAAACATGGGCTCCAGCAACAACTTTTCCTATGAGCAAAGAGAAAAGTAAAAAAAGAATGTATACAATGCTTTGCACAAAAGTAGTTCCGAGAGTCACTTCATAATAGTGGATTCTATACTGGAAGAAATCTGACTAGCTATTGTCATTAGGAAGAAATTTACTTTGCAGATCTTAACATCCTGCCTAGAGATCCTTTTTTTAAGCATAAGTTGTCTTGGCAAGAAGAATACTTACATTCAAAATACATTATCTATTCTACACCTATTGAGGCTGATAATACCCCCTAAAAAAAGCTGCACACTTACCATTATAGATCGAAGACCTCTTGCACCAGTCTTTCTGTCTAGCGCCAATCTGGCTATAGCCTTCAATGCATCCTCAGTAACAGTCAATTCACACTACATACATAAGAATACATTAAACTTCGTTAAATATTTCATTTGTAACTTTCCTAAATCCCTGGTTTACCCATCTTTCATTTAACAATAAACACATTTTGCAAAATAATAAAAATATTATTAAATAGCTAGTTCATTAAGTAGCACTTCTAATTCATCTTTTGGAAATTTTACCTAAACAACGTATTCACCATAGAACAGATGTTAACAGAAGCTCTTTGATGATTTTGTCATCTTCTGCTCTTGCACCTCCCACTTTTTTTTTTTTTTTAATAAAGATTTTTTTTTTTTGGGACAGGTTCCTTGGACTGTGCAAGTAAAGCAACAAGAAAACCATAGCTATATAAATACGAATGTTAATGTGTATTACAAAAAAAAAATGGGACAAATTTGCACCTAATTTAGAGGGCTGAGTTGTCATGAATGGAATAAAATATGGTTTGCAGATAATTTTCAGTTTGTTTGTATTAGATAAAAATCTTCAAGTACCTGCTTTTCAGTTGCAATTACAGTAGGTTTTCTCCTACCCTTTCAATATGGCTGCATATGTGTCAAGCGACTAGGATGCATTCAACACAAAGCAATAATGATGAATAATGGGTTATGAAGGCCATTTGCTTAGATTCTGTACAGGTGTATTTACTACTGGCCTCTCTGTCTTGTCTACACTACAGACCCGAACACTTGTAACAGAACCATTTGTATGGAATGAGTTTAAGTACAAACCAGTTAAAATGTTTCCCCAGAAGCCATTTAATTTTAAGACAATTACTTTTAAGTTTTGCCTTGCAACCACACACCAGTGCTGTCCTAAAACATTTCCACTGCAATGTCCTCTGTCCGTTCAGGGAGATTTCGCAAGAACACTTGTGCATGCTTGGACTGTAGTGGGAGGACTAGTTGAACAGTTTCAGCTTGTCTTCATCCACAGTGGCACTAAACTGGTTCAGACTGAACCAATTAAATTGTAACTAGTTATTAAATCTTCTGAAAGAATCTGGTCTAATAACTGGGTAGAACATTGGAGGCTTCTTTGTGTGTGAACAGTGTTCTACAAATGCTGCAGGAGCATCAATCAATTTAAAATTTTCTAGTATAGATCAGGCTCTTGAATTAGGTTCTAATGTGTTATAATACACATTATTAGAAAAAGGCCAGATTATTATTTTTTCTATAGTACCAATACACTAGGTGCTTTAGAGAGACAGATATGAAGATAATGTCCCTGCAAAGGGTTTACAATTTAACTAGACAACAAACAAATGTGAGGATGATGAGTGAAGGGAATAAGCTACAATAAAGGCAAGCTGATTAGTGAAATTTAGCATGTGCCTTGGAATGTTTGCAGTTTCTAGAAAGAATTTCAAGCATCTCATACTTTAACACTTCTGAGGGGAAGACTATGATTAAAAGGCCTATTTCCGAGGAAGCAAAAAGTGGAGGCATAGCAGATTAGGAAAAACCCTTTCCCCAAGCCATAAAGCTACTCAAATCAAAATAGCTTTGAAACCTGATTCCAAAATAGAACACAAAAATATCTAGCTAATGAAATAATGCTAATAATTCCTTTAGTGAGACTAGGCAATGTTTTCCTACACTGAAGATAGATATTCTGAAAATTCAACAATTTTACAAGAAATTACAGCATACACAGTTGGCCAAATATGATACAGTATTCTTAAGATATTGAAAATAAAGAATACATTTCTCATGTAGTTTTTTGATGACTTAAGAGAAGCCCAATAAATGTAATAAGATCTTGCTAATCTCTTCATCCCTGAAAATTAAAATTCCTGGCACCAAACCAAGCAACTAATGTAGTCACTGAGGCAATGAATAGGGATTCTCCCAATGAGTGGGGATTTATGCAACTCCCATTACTTACCATTCTTTGATAAGACGATGAGTTTATTTTCTTTGGTCATAAAGCAGACAGTATATCTTTATACTGAAAAAGCCTTAACATGAATTCCATAACAAGGATACCAAAAGGATGTCAATTAGTAAGACACAAAAAAAATCAAACCTTGTCCATGCTGAATAATGCCTGGTATTGAGGAACAACGGCATTTCTTGGCTCAGTAAGAATCCGTACAAGTGTTTTCTCATCCAGGCTATGCAGGGGAACCACCACAGGTAAACGTCCCACAAACTCCGGAATCATGCCAAATTCAATGAGATCTCTGGCTTCCACATGCCGCAGCAAGCGATCTTTTTCTTCAATATCTTGCTGTGTATTGGACTCCCCACTTATGTTAGCGAGGTCAGCTGCAGCAGCAGCCCTTCTGCCTTTCCCCAAATTAGAGGGCGTGCCAAAGCCAAGATACTGCAAAATAAACACTGCATGTTCATGAAAGAGCTACAGTTACATGTTTGCTTTATATAAATTTGGTGGCATGTGCATATTAGAATACATCAATGACAGCACTATAGACCAATCAGCTTTAATTACAAATTAACTGTTTCAAGAATGTACGTATAAAGGGCTTTCATTTTAAATGTTGTAGGAATTAACAGAAACCTGTTGTAACTTTAGTTCTCTCGACAAGGCACTAACACATAGTGACTACGGATCGGGCATGAAAGAGTCATATACTTTTCACAAATTAAGATGTGATTACATTACATACCTGGTACTAACTAGCTATGTGATACGAGTACCCTCTGATAACAATAAAAAGTACCTCTTCCAAAGTGAAACAGATGAACTTCTAATGAAAAAAAACTACACCAAAAAGCTTTACAAAGCTTGGGGTCAGAAATATAGACATAGGGTTACCAGATAGCAACTGTGAAAAAACAGGACGGAGGGGGGAGGGGGAAAGAGAATAGGTCCCTATATAAGAAAAAGTCCCCCCAAAAAGTCCCCTTTAAAGACGGGACATCTGGTCACCCTATTTAGACATCCAAAAAAGAGCGAAGTCGTGTGCCTCCAATTGCTGGTAAATAAGGGGGATTAAATAGAATATTAAATATAAAGAGAGAGAGAGAGAGAGAGTGAGAGTGTGTGTTTCCAATGCTTGCTCTCTGCTTCAAGCTTTCTATGCATCATATCATACATTTAAAGGAAATGTGATGGTAGCACACCTCCCCAACAGAATGGTTCACATAGGAACCCCATTTTTAAAAATTAAGGGACATTACAACACCTTCACAATTAACTTTTTAGCACTAGAATTCAGTTTTCTAGGTTCAGTTAGAGATCTCTAAAAATACAGATAACCCTCCCAAAATCATTAGCAAAAGAGCCACTATACATTTCAATATAGCTAAAAAGAGTTATTCTAAAACAATGTGTTCTCACCTTTTCATTTTTCCTCCTGCTGATGATTCTGTCAAGACCATTAAAGGCACCAGAAGCTACAAAGAGGACATTTGTTGTATCAACCTGCACTGTTTCTCCACGTAACTTACGGGAATTTTTTTCTGGAACATTTACGATTGTACCTTCTAGTAACTTTAACAAGCCCTAAGTAAAAACAGAGAGGTAAAGGCAGTAAATAAAGAATCCACATTATAACTTTAGAACAGAATGCACATCAAATCCTGTAACCTACTCACACCGGATTCAATGAGTCTGACCACCTGAATATGACAAGCAGGACTTGGCCCACAGGTCCCGAGCACCTGAGAATTTTTTCCAAGCCCACAACAAGAGCCAGTGGCAGAGATGGGAACAAAACCTAGATTGCTCATCTTCTACATACCACCTCCCATTGGAGAAGAATTGTTTCTAAAAATGTTTTTCAAATTTTTCTATGAGACATCAGTGATGAAGGATTTTGGAGAAAGTGAAAAAACAGCATGTAGTGATTTTTAGTTTATGTAACTTGATACTTGAAAGCAGATAAGGATGATTTCTAATAAAACAATTCCACTGAGGGTTTTTTGGGGGGAGTGAGGGAGGTGGAGAGCAAAATGGGGGTTAAGGGGCTTTTGATTAACCCTAGAATTTAATGAAATATGAATCTATACACATACAATATCTGCAACATGACAAGACAACATCAGAGACTTCATGTACTTTAATGATTTGATTTACAAGGCTGAAATAAAAACTGCATACTTACTTGTTGGACGCCTTCTCCTCCTACATCCCGTAACTGATGAATGCCTGGCACACTGCCAATCTTATCTACTTCATCCAGAAAAACAATTCCTAAAGTACAAGGAATATATTTAGAGAAGAAGCTATTTGTAAGAGAGAAAGATTATCTATGCACAGAGAAGAGTGCCATCTTACATAGAAGAGATTGCTATAGCAATGTTACAGAATGCTGCATGTTACATAAGCAACTTGCTGGATAACAAGAAAGGAATAACTTGTTACACCTGTTCATAATAATTTTTAAAATTAATTTACTAAGTTTTGAAAATTCTTATTAATGAATCAAAAAGAAGTCAAGTATATATACACCAAGAATGCTAAACTATTAAAATGATTCTTGGCACCAACTTACAGAATGTAATTGGGTCATGTATATTTTGCGGACAAACATCAGAAAATACATGGTCCAAGTTTACCTTGTTGAGCTTTTTCTACATTGTAGTTGGCATCTTGCAGTAGTTTTGCAATAACAGATTCAATATCTTCACCTACATAGCCAGCTTGAGTCAAGGTAGTACAATCACAGATAGCAAAAGGTACATCGAGGCATTTAGCTAGAGTCTGAGCCAGCAGGGTTTTACCTAAAAATTAAAAAGAAAAAAACTACTACTTGTTCCGTAATATTCATAATTTATTTCTGTGGCAGTATACAAGACTACAAACATTTTTCCTCAATGAACATAAACTAGTGTGACGACATCATCATCAGACAGCTAAATTGAAGGCAACATGTACAGATATTCATCAACAATGTTTTCTGGGTAAGCTAGCTTTGTCAAATAACTATGCTGTCATCTTTTGATTCTGCCAAGTTGCGTGCATTTTAATGACATTCTATTAGTTTGCTCAGGATTGCCTATGATATATACACTACAGTTAACACAAGTTTGTGTGTTTATATATTGTAACAATTGTGTGCCAGTATAAACGAAATGTTACGTTACTGCCATTCATCTGTTAACTTTCAGGGCACTGGGGAAACCCTATCTGTTTATTCCGGCTTTTGCCTGAAACGTAGAGTGGCATAGCCATGCTTTGGCTGGGAGAGTACTGAGTAAATAATAGTCTGTTATGTTTGTATTTTTACACACATGCACACAGACTTCTGAGTAACATATTCTAAAAACTGAAATATAACTTTTCCTTTTTAGACCCTACAACAGCTGTGGCTTAGAAGGTGAAACAGCATCTTCCTCTAACCAGGACACGTCATCTTGACCTTGCCATGAGAAGTCTGCAAACTATGAACTTATTTTTTCTAGTTACATGACAGTTATATTTTTAACATGGTTTTAATGATTGATTAAGGGGAGAAAACTGTGTAATGAAGGAAGATTCAGTAGCATAGTCTTTTTCTCCCTTCCCAACAATGCTAAGCACAGGTGGGTACAGGACCACAAAGTCATAAAATACCATGCATCACTTGCAGCTGCCATTTAGGGGTACAAACCACAGAGACCGTCTTTGGTGCTGAATTTTGCTGTTTAAAAGATTTTTCAATTACAGCCATGCACATGGGCATTATTTTTCCTCTAGTGTTAGAGTGAATTGAAAATCCAAAGAATGATGCCTTAAAATGAATAAACCAAAAAGGTAACAAGCAGGAAGTCAGTTCACTATGGAGTGACTGACGTGCATGTCTGTTACTCACACTAAGGACTTGTCAACACTTAAAATGCTGCACCGTTGTAACTGCGCTGCTGTAGCACTTCAGTGCAGACACCACCTAAGCTGACGGGAAGGGTTCTCCTGTCAACACAGGCAATCCACCTCCTCAAGGTAAGTCAATGAGAGAATTCTAGTGCGTTTCTGCACTGGGGGTTAGGTTACTATAGCTGCATCTAGTGTTCCCTCTAATTTTTCCCACCCATGTGTGGAATGAATTTTGTTACGTGCACCAATATGGAGGTGAAGTGTGATACATGACTTTCACATTGGTGCACATAACAAAATTCATGTGGTGGGGGTGATACCGAGGAGTTCGGAGTGTGGGAAGGGACTCAGAACTTGGGTAGAGGGTGTGAGGGCTCTGGCCAGGGGTGTGGGCTCTGGGTTGGGGCCGGGGATGAGGGGCTCAGGGCTGGGGCAGAGAGTTGTGGTGCAGGGGTGTGAGGGCTCTAGCTGGGGATGCGGGCTCTGGGGTGAGGGATGAGGGGTTTGGGGTGCAGGAGAGTGCTCCAGCAGGGAGAGAGGACTCCCTCCAGCTCTCTCCCCTCACAGCAGCACCTGGGCTTGGGGGGGAAGAGGCACCTCTCCCCATTGCAGCAGGTCTGGGGCCACAGGATAGACGCCCCTTCCCCGGCCGGGTTTGGGACAGGGTGGGGTGCCCCATCTGCAGCAGGTTGGAGGCTGGGCTAGGTGGGACCAGGGGGCACCGCTCCCCCGGCTGATCCCTGGGCGGGTTCCTTGAACACTTGCGGGGCGCTAATAGGCTGCTGTGCAGCCATGCAGCTTACAGAGAACTTAGGCTGCGTCTCTCAGGGCTGTGGATTTTTCACACCCGAGACACACAGCCATACCAAAGCAAATTCCCAGTGTATAGCAGGCCTCATTCACTACATTCATCAAGATCCTAAGAGGTGAGAGCATCTACACAATACAACTTGCCCTCACTGGGTATTCCACACCTCTGAAGATCAGTAGACACATTATTTTGCATGTCATAACCACATTTATTAAAGCACCTACAACACACTGGGTTTAAGAACTGGTTATTTTCTGAGCATACAGAATTTCCAGATACTGAACTGCATCCAGGCAGAGTTTGCTTTGATTTTGTTCTTCCCTACCTGATTCCAGACAATTCTGTTTCCACGCTATCAGTCTATAGTAACTGCTGTTTTTCACTGCTAGTAGCTGAGGTATGATTACACCTTCCTATAACCGATTCTAGCAAGGTATTTATGATGGTTCTGGAAAACTGCCTGAACCTTGCAGTACGATTGATTTTTGACCAAGATGAGCCACCCACATTCCACAGTACACATTATGGAGGTATCTGTGGGTAACACCAGATGGCCACCTGTCTTCTTGGATTTGAAAATATGATTTGCAGGCACCATTATCAGGATATAAAAATTGTGCATGGCACTTTTCTCCAATGATTACAGTCAACATTGTCCTGTGCTTGGAAGAAATCATCATAGTGGATGCATTTGAAGTATGGCAGAGAGCAAATTGGATCAGACAGGTAGTTGGAAAGGAGGGAGGTGTACTATAAACTGGCAGTACCCAGGTCTGAGGTGCAGAATTAAATGCTAACTTTAGTCTATGGAGGAAAAGCTCATTTCTATCTGTTTTTAAGTGAACTTCAACTTGCAGCATGTTTCAATACAGATTTCTTGTAGTTTAGGATAAGCACATACTATACAGCAAAAGCTGGGGTTTAGCATTTCTTTTTCCTGCTGTTTTTCCTGTTATTAACCAGCTGCTGTTGCCAAAAAGAACCACAAGAGACTGAAATTTCTTAAAACAGGAACTCAAAATCTGTCCTGAGTCTGGCTCTGTTCAATATCTTCAAAAATTATTTGGATAAAAGCAAAGAGTATACTTATAAAGTTAATGAACAATACCCAGCTGGGAGGGGTAACAAGTGCTTTGGAGGACAAGATTAGAATTCAAAATGATCTTAAACTGGAGAAATGGTCTGAAATAAATAGGGTGAAATTCAATAAGGACAAATACAAAGTATTACATTTAGAAAGGCATAATCAACTGCACAAATACAAAATGGGAAATGACTGCCTAGGAAGGTGTACTGCAGAAAAGGATCTGGGGCTTATAGTGGATGGCACACGAAATGAGTCAACAATGTTGTAAAAAAAATACTGTTGTAAAAAAAAAAAAGTGAAAATCATTCAGGGATGTATTAGCAGAAGCGTTGTCAGCAAGACACAAGAAGTAATTCTTCCATTCTACTCAGCACTGATAAGGCTTCAGCTGGAACACTGTATCCAGTTCTGGGCACCATACTTCAGGAAAGATGTGGACAAATTGGAGAAAGTCCAAAGAAGAGCAACAGTAATGATTAAAGGTCTAGAAAACATGACTTATGAGGAAAGATTGAAAAAACTGCATTTGCTTAGTGTGGAGAAGAGAAGATTGAGGGTGGGGACATACTTGAAGACTATTATGTAAAAGGTTGTTATAAAGAGGAGAGTGAAAAATTGTACTGCTTATCTACCTAGGACAGGACAAGTAGTAATGGGCTTAAATTGCAGCAAGGGAGAGTTACGTTAGACATTAGGAAAAACTTCTCACTGTCAGGGTGTTTAAGCACTGGAGCGAACTACCTTAGGAGGCTGCAGAATCTCCACCATTAGAGGATTTTCAGGACAGATTAGACAAATACCTGCCAGGGATGATCTAGACAACACTAAGTCCTGCCCCAGTACAGGTGACTGGACTATATACCTATCGAGATCGCTTCCAGTCCTACATTTCTATGATTCTATGCCATGCTTTTATTCACTCAACTGGTAACATAATAAACATATTTTTAGCTTATCTGTTCCCAAAGTACTCAAAATCTACAGAAGTGTTAAGTTACATACCTGACCCAGTTGGTCCAAGCAGCAAAATATTACTTTTTTCAAGATTTATGTCATCATGGGTTGAATCTAGTACTTCGCCTCCTCGTTTCTCCTGAGGCATCCGCTGGTTCACTTGTTGCTGCATTGATGCTCCTAAAGCATTACCATGGGGACTTATTCCAGCAATCTGCAGAAGTTCTGAAATTAACAATAAAAGTATTGTTTGAGAACCAGGTTTAATTTGAACTGGCAGAGTCTGACACTACCGTTGAGTAAATAATTAAAATTTTAACTGATGTTTTTTGTAATCTTTCAATGGTTTGTTCTGTGAGCCAGTAATCCTACCTTAGAAAATACTGCAGACAGGATTGCATAAACACCAAAAAAAGAGGAACTGCATTCCCATTGTTTCCATAAGCACATTTTTACATATTTGAAAAGATATTTCAAACAGAAATAGAAATTGTATAGTGGCTTATCTAAAACATTCTAATATGTTAAACAAGTGCATGCAAAATTCCTAGTCCACACACAAAACAAGTTACCAAGTATTTTTTCCTATACATAAATATATATAAAAACAAAAGGCACTTAGATACCATAATGCCTGGCAAAGTAGAAGAACTTATAAAAAAATTGCAAACTACTAATATACACAAAAACAATATACAGTTCTACGCTAAAAAGTGACTATATAAAAATAACTCCTCCTAACAATAGATCTGTGAGTTAGATTAGTGGTAAATTAAGGTCTTTATTCTTTAAACACTTTTTTATTCATTAGTACTGCAGTGCCAACAGAAAGATGGGAGAGTGAACTGGAGTCTATTCCTTCTCATTCATCAACAGAATTTTAACTAGTTCCAATTGAAAGGCAGAATTTTGTAATTTAAAGAAAATGCAATTGACCAGGTGTAACTAGGATTACAAATTGGTCTGCAGAAGCCTTATTACATGATGATGGATGCTGCATGAGGCAAGAACCACCCAGTTTGAAAGTTAGCTTGTAGTTAGAAAAAAAACTTTACTTGTGAGCTAAGCAAATGTGATCAGGTGTCAAGGAGACAAACATGGATCAGCCCAATGCCATTTTGACAGTTACTTTTCAGAGTACAACTACGTTGTAGCAAATACATTAATATAACATTGCATGATTAATAGTATACAAAAGTTGACATGAGGCATTACCTACTCGGCAGTGATTCACATTTCCCTTTGCCTTAGAAAGTTGGTATCAGATAGAAATTCATGAAAAATATACACTACAAATATCTCAAACTGAGTAAACAAGTCTAAACTTTCACTCTCTTTAATCAAGGTTAATTCTTTGTACAGATACTTATTTAGAAACTTATAGGTTAACATTTTACCTGCCTTCCATGTAGAATTATATACAAGGTCAATTCCTGTTCAGTCACAAATGCTCATTGAAGTCAAAGGACTACTTGTCTGAATAAAAGCAAGCAGGATTTGGCCCATAATTTCTACCAAGCCACCACTAAACTACTGTTCTGATGTTAATTTCAAGGGTAGATATTGCAGAGGAGGACATGAGGAGAGTTCACTTACTTGTAAATCTGTACTCATCCTCCCGTCTTCTTATTTCTAATTCTAAGAGAGAGGATGAAAACAGTAATATAAAAAAAATTATATTTGCTCCACCTCTTGCCCTCTTCTGAATACATTTCATGGTGTAATCAAGGTATTACAAACAAGAAATCCCCACGTTAGCTTTTATTTGTCAGATCTAAGAGCTCCCTATTTGAGACTACTTAGTCATCTAAAATTGACTACCTGCTTCCTCTTGATTACAATAAATTAGCTGTTTTTACATCAAAATCTTAAAATACAAGACACTTAGTAAAAAAAAACATACCAGATTTAATCTGGATTTTTAAAAAGTATCTTAAACTAGCATTGTAATACTTTGATATAAGATTATTCTACATATTTTAAAAGACTATCAATTACAATTGTTAATTTTAATCTCTCTGGGGCAGGAAGTGTCTCTGTTCTGTGTTTATATGGTGCCTAGCACGAGATCCTGGTCTGTGCTTAGACCAGGGATCAGCAACCGTGACGGGCCGGGCCTGTTTGTTTACTTGCCGCGTCTGCAGGTTCGGCCAATTGCGGCTCCCAAGGTGCCTCCCAGCACATCTCTCGGCCCACACCACTTCCTGCAGCCCCCATTGGCCTGGAGCGGCGAACCGCAGCCAGAGGGAGCTGCGATCGGCTGAACCTGTGGACATGGCAGGTAAACAAACTGGCCTGGCCCACCAGGGGGCTTACCCTGGCGAGCCGTGTGCCAAAGGTTGCCGATCCCTGGCTTAGACAATTAGTCACAACTGCAATACATATAAATAATAATAAAACAGTTTCTGATTTCTAATTGTAAGATAAAATGCAGACAATGTGATTACTAAAGCATCATTTTTGTATGCAGTTAGCATACTAAACCTTCAAGTCAGAATGACACTCTTTATAAATCAAACTGAGTGAGCCTTGAATCAGTTATCATAGTTTAATCTCACTTCTAAAAATAAAGTAAACGGATACTACTGCATAACTATTGTGCAGCTAAAGCACTGCCAGCAAGTAACCTCATATGAACTTGTTGGATATTTAACAATATTAAACTGACCAACAGTTTCTGTTGACTTAGGAACAAAAATATGTAGTTAATTATTCATCAGGTTATACTAAATAGAAAACAATTTCTTTCTGAAACTCCCCTTAGTTGTTGCTTGCAACTGAACACTAAATCTGTTGCTCAAGTAGTAAAGCAGATTAAAAAGAAAAATGTTCATAGGCTCACTTTATAAAGCAATATCAGAGTCACCTGAAAGGGTGCCACCAACAGATGCTAAATATTTAAATAAGTTAGAAATTGCCCATGATGCCATAAAACTTTATGGCTTATTTACATAATAGTTACAAAACTTACATCTAGTCAAAGGTTAAAGGTACACCATGCAGCTAAAAATCATTTTAACACAGAACATAAAGAAAATTTAAAATTACTTTCAATTAACGAGTGTTAAAAGTTATTTACTTTTCATCATTTAGGTTACATCTTTACTTCTTGCACATCACTCAGCTTGGCAAACAAAATTAACTTTGCTTGCTTGTTCCCATGCACTGACAAGATTGCAGCATATGAAAAAGCAGTTGCAAACATTTCAGAAGCTTTAAATCTAAGCAAATCTTTTTATTGAAATAAATTAATGGAGGCATTCATATTAATAAAAGTTTTTGAAACTGTTTGCTTTTATCTAGCAATTATGTCTACACTAGCCAATGAAATCATTTAAGGAGCCAGTAATATATTCTTCATGCAGGTATCACATACCACTGAATTCATCTGAAGTTTTACATGCAGAATGGCTGCTTGCATTTATTATAGCACCACCATAAGTACAGGAAAAAAGTCCACAGAGACAATACACTTTATAATCAGAAAAATATGAAACATTGTACAAACCTCTCGGTGTTAAAGAAGTCTGCTTTTCAACTTCTGCTTGCGATCTCAGATTAGCTGGGATATTGTTGTATATTCTTTTGTAATGATTGTACACAGCGACTGAAAGCACCTTCTTGGCAAAAGACTGACCAACAACATACTTGTCGAGGTAGTTGTAAATCTGAAAAATAAAATTAACTTAATAAGTAAATAAAAATAATTATATTTCTAAGCCACCCATGCACAATAAAAGCATTACAGGGTGCCACAGGGAAAAAATTAACACAGACTACAGAGATCTAAAACTGAACAAAACCTGAGTTTAAGAGACATCAAATTCTGAAATTCTAATACATAAAAGGAGCTGAACTTCAAGGCTTTGGAGCACAATGTGGACGGACCATAAATGGAGGCTATACTAACTGATCTAAACAGACTTGATTTTTAAATTTTGTTTCATGATCTGTGATATAAACTAATAAAGGTTATGGAACTGAGTATTAACTGTCCAATACATAAATACAACCAAAGATTATAAAACTAACAATTTTTCCTTCAATAAAATACTTCACTGTGTCCTGTAGAATATAAGTAGTAAATGTTTGAATTTTGGAGAACTAATTTTTATCATTTCTTAGATTTATGTCCCAATTGAATTTTAAACTTTGATTCAGATTTTTACAATGAAAACATTCAAATATGCTATAATGCAGATCAGTAAACTGCGGTGAAATTAAGAACCATACTTTTTTCGGTGGAGGAGGTGGCTTTTGTTGGAATGCCAATTTCACAGCTTCTGCTGCTGATTCGGGCTCTTTAATGATGCTCTTCTTGGAGTCTGCCTCTGACAGCACAACAAAAAAATGGTGACATTTTTCACACTTCACAAAACGGGTGGAAGCTGTAAAAAAAAGTAAAATGAAGTGGTAAGAGACTGTTTAGACAACATTCATTCAACTTTCTACTTTCATGCTACACAGAACTTAAACACCTGTAATAACAAACATTCTGTCAATTCCCTCCTCTGCCTCCAAGGTATATTTTAAGTTGGGATAACGTCAAATCCAGAGACAAAATTAGTACATACTCTGCATTTACGCAGCACTTTTCATCTGTTCACCTCAAAAGCTTTACAAAGCATTTAACAGATGGTGAAATTCATACAGAGAGGCAAAGCAATTTGTCCAAGATCAGACAGTGACAGACCTAGGAAAAGAAGGCAGGTCGCCATTTCCAGTTTGGTGCTCTGCTCAGTAACAACTGTATTCGAAGGATGAAATTCACCCAGGTGTGGCAATCTCTTTCATGCTACTTGAGACATGTGGAGGGAGCATAAAATACACAGGGAGCTCTATAATCGTGTATACACAGGGGAAGGCACATAATTTGGCTCTGAACAGACTAGCACTACTGGATCCACAATACACAGAGAGAGGCAACAACTACTGGGCCTGGCCCATAAACTGAAAAAGTAACACTGCTCCCTTCATGTGTGCTCCCCTGCATGGAATTAATCACGCTATCGTGAAAGGTGGACGTTGGAGTCTGGAGATTTCCCATAAAACCACAGACTATACAAAACTCTGCTTACTGTCAACCAATTTCTAATCAATTTTGAACATAATTTATATCAAATTGGTATTACAGTTTCTTTTAATGTAGTATGGCAGTACATTGAATGGCTTCAATCCAAATATACTAAATCAGTAGTGACAAATTTTCAATAAACACATTTAGAATATACAAGCATTTACACTTAAAAGAACAGACAAAAACTGAGGAAAATGTGACGTATAATATGACTTTCCCTGTCTAATGAGCAACATTTTGGTTATCACTTCAAAAATTAACCAATAGTGTTCTAGATTATTTTTTTTGGAGATGTCATAATAAAAAAACCTCAAGAACAAATAGATTTTCTTAAGAAGAACATTTTTCTGCCTTTGGGAATCAATTTGAAGTCTGAGTTGCTGCTGTCCTAAAAAGAAAGACAAAGAATCAGATTCAGAAACCTGAAAAGCAGGTAACAACTTGTGGACTGGCACTATTAAAGCTACTGTCTGTTTCAGAAAAGCAAAGAAAATGGCATCTGTTCTAGATGATTTCAAAGAACAGAACCATAATCCAACATTAGTGTTCAATTCCTGCTCCAGCACTTGAATGTCCTCTGTTAAGTGTGCCAAATAGGTGCAGCATGACCTACTTCGATAAATAACTACTACTTATTAAAATGATTAGGTGAAGAACTCTATTAACAATCCTCTGAACTTTTAAAAAGTCTTTAGAAAACAGGTTGCACAGCCAAATTCTGAGTAATTTTATTGCCAATCTATGACAAGAACCAAAAAAATTTTTACATAGTGCTCATGCTTCCCATAGAGCAGATGTTAGGAGAAACTCATCCAACAGATAAGATACATATGTTCCAAAATTCTGTAGCTGCACAAATCAAATTAGATTTTTATAAAAAAAATACAAATCTGTGAATTTTAACAGATTATCAAAGTGCTGCTGCACTGTGGAAACTTCCCTGCTCTTAATCCTATTCCTTTAAGCAAAGTGAACAGAGGAGATGGAACACTGCAGTGGTAACAGCATGAACTGCTGATATCATAGGAGGGAGGGGGAAAGTGGAGAAGAGCAAAGGTCACTCACTTGCAAGCAACCCTCCTATGATATACTATCAATTGCCAATATCACAGGGAGAGTGTGCATACTTGCACAAGCTCAGAATATCCCAGACATCCTTATTGATGGCTAGTACCATGGGAACATTCTCTTCCCTCACATCATGCTAGCACTCAACAGTAGCACCACAGAATGAACACGAATATAGTCACTCCCTTAAGCAAGGGAGAAAAAGGAAAATAAAGGCAAGGCATTACATTTTGCACTTTTACAGCAGCTTTCATTGGAAGATCTCAAAGTACTTTACAAACATTAAGCCTCCCAATACCCCTCTGAGGTACCTACTTCCCCCATGTTACAGATAGGGGAAAATGCGGCACCATGGTGATTTTCTCTGAGGTCAGAGCAAGTCAGTGACAGAGCTGGGATTAGCACCAAGATCTTCTGACTACGAGTTTCATGCTCTGAACATTAGTTCATGCTCCCTCCCACTGCTGTGACAAAGGAAAATAAGATCACTTAGTTTCCACAGCAATGCTCATGTTCAAATAGGAAGGAACCAGAACCACTAGGAAATTGTGGGAGTGTGGGTGGTTTTTTTTTTTGGGGGGGGGGGGGGGGGGGGGACTGCTGAACACTGTGCTGATGGCCCCACAGACTCCGTAAATGTAAACTTCAGAGCTTTTTATCTTAGACTCTAAAACGATAGTGTCAATGGCAACTGGCAAAACATTTTAAATCACCAGCTTCACAGAAGGTCACACTTTTTAGCAATTTCCCCAGGACAGAGGAGGTGTAAGAAGCCCTGCAGATCTCCAGAGCCAGCAATAATGTTATATTAAGTACACACAAATGTCTGTGCAATAGTTCCAATTTCAAATAACTTCACTGGCATGATGAGGTCTGCAAATGTTTAGATACAACAACAGGTAGTGAAAAGGACATGAAGCTTAGCTGTTGACTTTGCTCCCATGGCATGCTGAAGGCTGCACACTACAAAGGTATTTGCCCAGTCAGTATTTATAGTGGTAAGGTGCAGGCCATGTCACATCACAGCAGAGCGTTGTCCACATGATATGTGCAAAAACCTGATGCAATAGTATTTTTTAAAAAGCTTGAATCTACCCTTTGGGGTGAAGATAGTTACTACATTGCAATTGCTCTGAGAGAGAGCATGATGTCAAGGAAAAAAGGGCGAGAAAGCCACTAATTTCCTAACAGGTTTAAACATGACAGGAAAACCCTGCTCCGGAGGATGGAAAGGGCAGGGAGTTCATCCCAGCAGAATGAGGTGATGACAATGACTGTTTTTAAGAGTACTTAAATCAGCAATACTCAGGCTCAAAAGATACAGGTGGTTTTGACTTCATGTCTCAGGCATGAATTTTATCTCACAGAAGGAAGCACTGATCACAGGATTTCCCTCCACACAGCCTGACACCTAATGCCAGGTTCAAGGAGTGTTGAGCAAATGGGTAAGAACCACCAAGATCCCTTTAATACCTCCAAAGAGCCCAGGAAAGAAGATGAGTGTGTTGGAATAGCAGAGAATCACAAAACCATCGTGCAAGGTTCGCAGCAATATGTGATGAAGAAGCACATTACAAACAAGCTTCACTAGAATGTCAAGCTGTCACTCCACCACCCAATGGCTCTTTGCAACTTGATTCATGAATAAAGAAGCTCTCTGACTCAATTCCATTTTACTATTCTGTTAATCATCTCAAGATGAGTACAGAGTTAATCTGATGTTTAATTGTTTAAGTGTGTGGGGCACATACTGGATAAATGTGTTTTCCTTAGTCAGTAAATATGTAATTAAAACCCTGAAGATTTACAAGTCAAAACAACCGTTTTGTTTTGTCTTTGTAAAGTAGTGGCATTACAGGCTTAGCTGAAAATCAAGTTACAGTCTGTTTCATAGAATACAACCACCCATTAATAGCTCTGGGAATGGAACTTGGATGGAAATTTTGACAGTTTAAGGAGGATTAGAACACAGCTTGCTTCCCCACAGCTATTCTGCATTCTATAGTGCAAATAAACCCAGAAAAGAAAATAAGTAGAGTAACACAAAAACAGATTGAGTTAGGGAAAAAATGTACGGTACTCAAATTAACAGTTTGAAAGAGAACTGAAAAAAAGATGTAAGGAGTCCAATGGATTTAGGAAGAAATTGATGTAAGCCTAAAAGGAATATCTGAAATATTATAGCAATGACAACTGATTTTCTTAAAGATCATAGTTACTAGGAATCCAATGACAGCTCTCCCTCTGTTCGATCTCTATAACAAGCCCTAAATAAAATAAAAGAGTTGGTTCCACTCTTACTTATTGCAATGCTGCATTGTATAAAAGGACCTTTAAAAAGACTCTTTAAATCCTAGCCTCTCGAGAAGGATGAGAAATTAGAAATATCCAACTGCCTAAAAGAGGCCATCCTCTCACTGTATCTTGATGCTTGAGTTCTCTCAAACCTCCATCAGCCTCAATCCTCCTTTTAAGGAAAGGTAATTGTTTTTTAGTCTTAGGGAGGAGGGATAGCTCAGCGGTTTGATCATTGACCTGCTAAACCCAGGGTTGTGAGTTCAATCCTTGAGGGGGCCATTTAGGGATCTGGGGCAAAAGTCTGTCTGGGGATTGGTCCCCCTTTGAGCAGGGGGTTGGACTAGATGGCCTCCTGAGGTTCCTTCCAACCATGATATTCTATGATTATGTGCCCCATGATATCCTGGTTAGATTCCAGTCTGGCTCTGGTCTTTTTAAATTGAAAATATATCAGCCAAGCTTCTCTCCCACATCATAAGAGAATGAGCTTCATGGCAAGATAATTTCTAAACACAGGTTAAAGTATCTTCGTGACACTGATGATATGTAAGAAGCAATAGAGGGTCCTGTGGCACCTTTGAGACTAACAGAAGTACTGGGAGCATAAGCTTTCGTGGGTAAGAATCTCACTTCTTCAGATGCAAGAAGTGAGGTTCTTACCCACGAAAGCTTATGCTTCCTATACTTCTGTTAGTCTCAAAGGTGCCACAGGACCCTCTATTGCTTTTTACAGATTCAGACTAACACGGCTACCCCTCTGATACTTGATGATATGTAAGTGTCTCTCTGTTGCCCATGGACCCAACAAGTTTGATCTCTGCTCTGAAGCAGTTCTTGGATGAGGTTTCCAGCTGGATGCACATAAACAACCTCATCATCCACCCTGGTCTGGGTGGTAACAGAGGTGGAGATAGTAATTTTGAGACTCTGTTTCCTGATGTCTTTGTTTACAACTGGGTGTCTTTTGAAGATGGTGAGTCAAATTAAGAATCTTTTCCTCACTTTCAACTACACCCTTTCTGTGGAAAGTCCCATGTGATGAACAGGTTCTGAAGTGTTTATTCCAGCTGTGCAATTAGCGCCGGATTTGCAGAAATTCTGAGCACATACATTTTTAACTGAAATCAACAGAAGCTGCAGGAGCTTAACACTTCTGAAAAGCAGTCCCTCTTTCAGGCTGATCCTTTATCTATCTTGGGACTATCTTGCAACACCAAGCTATGTCCCTGGGACCATAAAGTTGGATTACTGCAATACCTTCCTATCAAGGCTTATCTGTTTGCAGCTTGTTCAGAACAAAGCATCAGAAATCTGCTTTTTAGTTTAGGTATCTGTAATATTACACCTACCCTGCACTCTTTACAGGGACTTTAAATTGACCTTGTTTTTAACCCTGAAACCCTGGCTATTCTCGAGACCTCATCCTTAAGTCTCATCAAAAGAAGCTGATGAATATTTGTGCTCTGACAACCCAAATTTTTAGAGACCTCTATTACTTGCTAGGTAAGCAAGAGATTGTGCTTCACTCTAGTAGATCCTAAGGCCTGGGATTCATGCTGCTCTAGACAACTGCCTCAGCTTATCTGTCTGAAGTGCTTTTAAGTATGACTACTTTTAGTCCTATAGTTACATTACTCTCCTCATTGATCCTCCCTTCAACATCTCTGGTGTGCTACAACCCCTTTAACTTCTGTTTAAAAGAATTAATTCTAAATATTTTAAACTTCATGTATTAAAATTCTTGCTGTACAGTACACAAAGTGTCCAGGGAAGGCAAAGGCTGCACTTCAAAAATAAGATTCATCATCAGTGGTGGTCTGGCATTTGATGTTAGAAGATTTTTTCCACATTCATTGTGAACTCAACTACTCTTTTGAATACACTATGGCTCTTATTCTGGCCTACAAGGTCCAAAACATACAATTCTTCTAATATTTTCTAAACTGTGGTGATTCTCTTAGTGGATCAGCAATTCATCCTACTCTTCCTATTGCTTAAGAAAAAGGTTTTAATGGTAAATAAGCAAAAATCATGCACATGCTCATTAGAACGCAAGTCAGGAGCTGAAGTAATATTGTTTACATGAACACCTCTGCCACAAAGATACAAAATGTAATAGTTCAGATAAGCTTACATTGTTCACAATATTGCTCTGCCTATTGTTGACCGAATTCTGCTCCTGATTACACTCATGCAGTTACTCCTGATTTACAATGTCAGTGACATTATTCTGGATTAACACCATCATAGCAGGATATTTATATGCATGGCATAAGTATCTGAAATTCTCAGTCTTCAGAATAAAGCTTAGCTATCGGAACAGAATGGTTAAAATTTTAGTTTAGAAATCATTTCAATGTTTTATAGAAATGGAGAATCATCCATATAAATCAGAACACAATAATCCTTTGTTAACACTTACACACAAAGGTCTCTACATGTGTGCACAGGTCACCACACTTTGGGCACCGCAGCTGGTTTCCTCCTTTCCCCGAGTTTCCAGAACCTGACTTTTTACTGCCTCCCTCACTGACAGATTTCTAAAGAGAAACAATAAAATAATATTTCAATTGTTAGTTCCATACAATGAATTTCAGATTTGTTTCATTATACATACCGCTGTATATAATGAAAAAAAAAATTGGCAGCTAAAATGGTTTATTTTCAGTATTTGAAAAAGACTTCAAACATCTACAGTAAGAGTTTAAAATTTCATGCTTAAAACAGGCTAACATTTTCACAAGAGACAGAAGAAGTCTACATTTTAAAAAGTGACTAGAGATTTCGGATGCTCAACCTGAAATACGTTTAAGACACCTGTTTTTTCAGAACGTACTGGGCACCCATCCTCTCAAAAACAGGCCCTTTCAAGGTGTCTCAAAATGAGTACTCAAAAATTAAGGCATCCAAAATCACAAGCCCCTTTTGAAAATTTAGGTTCTAACCACCAAGGCCTCATTTCCCAAACTTTTGAAAGCTGAGCCCCAATTTGGTAAAATTAAACTAGTTGTGCCTTCAACCCCACCACACGTTATCAAAGGCCTATCCATCTCACCTTTTAAATTTTCAGTACTAGTTCATTAAGGCACATCCCACATTTTGGGAAATGATAGAAATATCTCCTCTCTCGCTCTTTTTTTTTAAACTACATGCTTTGTTAGCTATTTCATTGCTTATCAATGTTGACACTTGAAGTATCTTAGTTAGCACTCACTGAAAGATGGGGCTGCCCATATCTCAAAGCTATTGTTTCAGGCTCTCTGCAAACTGATATAGACATCACTACATTGGCTAAGCCCTCTTTACATTTTGAAGGTTTTCTCTGTAATCATAACAGCTATAGACTGACTAAAAATATACACACACACACAGGAGCCTCTGAAAAACCAAAACATCTGTCCATGCCCCTTGCTAGTCCTTCACATCCCAGGAAATAGTTTAAGAATGGGGTAAAACAAAGATTAAAAGTAAGTTCATAACAAGAGTAGCAATTAAACATATTAGAAGACTAAAATGAGTCTTTTCCACAAAGTACCCTTTCTTAGTTCCATAGCAACATATTATAGAAGTAATTAGAAAACCATAACATGTTTGGTTTCAAAAAACCAAAATAAGATTTAGTCAGTTTTTTAAAAAGCGTTAAAAGAGTTTCAGATACTACTTCTATCTGCAAATGTGTGTGGTTTTATAACCATATTTCACAATATTTTCAAAAATATTTATCTCACTTTTTGCTGTTTGAAAGACCTAAACAATAGGGGAAAATGACTATAAACCAAGTATTTGTGCATTTGACAGTACAAAACCATACAATGAAAATATTTTTCCTCTAATCTTTTCAGTTACAGTAATCTGAAGGGTGACTAACAGTAGGTAAAAATTTCAGAAAGGAGTGTGGTTAAGAGATCCCTGTAGCAATAGGTAGTGTATGCAGACTACCTTATTGCCATCGCCAGAACCATCCTTGCTCGCGCCATCTTTCGAAGCAAAGTATGCTGGTGTTTCTGAAAAAGTTCTAAAAGGAATCCTTCTTAGAGACCGAGTTTCAAAAGTCCCAATTCTTCCTAAAACAGCGAGACAAGTACGACCACAAGTAATACCTGGAAATGAAACAAATCCTGTAAGTCTGTGGGGCACACATCTTGCTCCCCGCAATCCAAACAAACTGTGTGTGTAAAACTGGGAAAATACACCACGTTATCTATTATTAGTTTGCTTTATGGTGTAAGAGAGAACAAGATATAATAGTTACCACTCTAGCTAGTATTTTACCATTTATCAGAAGACATCTGAAGTGCCAATATATCGTGTATGGAGAACCCCTTTTCACAACTTC